GAGAGAGAGAGAGAGAGAGAGAGAGAGAGAGAGAGAGAGAGAGTGTGTGTGTGTGTGTGTGTGTGTGTGTGTGTGTGTGTGTGTGTGTGTGTGTGTGTGTGTGTCCATCTGTCCACCCTGCCTGGCACCGGGTGCCATGGCTGGGGGCTGTTAGCAGTCGAGATCCACCCCGAGGTGGCCGTGTTTCAGAGCAGGGTGAGCTCTGCCAGGGGGGTAGAAATCAGTGGTGGGGGACACCATGGCTGGGGTGGGCAACAGGCTGTCCCTTCCCGGGCACCAGCTCACAGGCTGACGTGGGCTGTGCCGGCAGGTGCGTGAACGGGGTGTGTGTGCCCCTCGACGCGCTTTCCTACAGCTGCCAGTGCCGGGACGGCTACCGCGGCGCCCTCTGCAACCAGCCGGGCGAGCTGCCCAGCCCCTGCCACGGGCTGGCCTGCCTGCATGGGCACTGCCAGGTCTCGGACCGTGGCGAGGCCTCCTGCGACTGCGATGATGGCTTCACCGGCGACCTCTGCGACCAAGGTCAGCACCCCCGTGCCAGCCACCCCTTGGGCACCTGGACAGCCCGGCGCGGGGCCAGGGCCGGGGCTCAGCTGCCCCTGCTCCTGCCTGCCCTGCACCGGGGCTAATTGCAGCCCCGACCCCGCAGAGCACCTGCCTGACCCTGCCCCGTGTCCCGGCAGAGTCAGAGTGCCGCGGCGAGCCGGTGCGGGACTTCCACCAGGTGCAGCGGGGCTACGCCATCTGCCAGACCACGCGCGCTGTGTCGTGGGTACGGTGCCGCGGTGCCTGCCGGGCGCAGGGCCAGGGTCAGGGCCAGGGCTGCTGCACGGGACTGCGGCTGCGGCGGCGCAAGCACACCTTCGAGTGCAGCGACGGCTCCTCTTTCGTGGACGAGGTGGAGAAGCCCAGCAAATGCGGCTGTGCCCGGTGCATGTAGCTGCTGGCTGCGCCCGCCATGGACCAGGTGTCACGGGCCATGGCCGGACACGGACGGGCCTCAACCGCCAGGACCTGGGGCTGCGGCACGGAGCCGCCGTGTAGATAGGGAGTTTTTTTAAGCACTGCGGGTTCACAAAGGTATTTATACGGCCGGGCACCCGGGACCTGCTATCTCCTCCCCCCGTGGGTGCTGTCAGTGCCCGGCTCCCGGCCGGGAGGATCGGCCAGTGCCCTGGTCCCTGCCTGCGGGGCTGAGTTTGGCCCTCGGGCACTGCGGGCTCCAACCCTTGTACGGGGGAGCCAGCGGAGCGGCCGGACCCCACGGCTGAGATGGAGCAGCTCGTGCCAAGCCCGGCCTGGCTCCCTGCCCCTGCCAGACAGTACAGCGCCAGCCCTGGCCCGGCTGCACCTGGGCACTACGTGGTGGCACCGTGACCAGAGCTGCCACAGGCATCCAGCACGCCTGGGGCATCACCCCCAGGACCGGCTGGGCAGGGAGGTGCCAGCATCAGGCAGGGCGGGGCTGGGCATATGGCCGCTCTCTAGCGCCTTGGACAGTGCCCCGGGCACCAGCTCGGGGTTGGGCCAGGCCACAGCAGGCGTCTGTGCTGGTGATGGGGGACGGGCACGGGGCCCCACACGGCTCGGCCACCTGCAGCCAGCACCGCCTGCCGGGGAGCAGCTGCTTGCACTTGTGACACCGATGACGCCACCTGCCCACTGGCCCCCCGCACCCGGTCCCACCACCCACAGGGCTGCAGTGGTGCCACCAGGATGCCCGTGGGTTTGGGGGGACACCAGGATCTCTGCAGTGGGGGTGCTGCCCCCCCTGACAGCCCAGTCACCACCTGGGCCATGAGCCATGGGGGGGTTGGGGGGGGGGGGGGG